GTTGTCTTGCAGCAGGCGAAGGACAGTATACCGGTGATTGCACACGAAAAATTACGGGAGCAGTGAATCCGAGGCGGGAAGGGGCAGGGGGGCGGTTGTGGGCACACGAGGAGCAAGGTCTGCCCTTGATGAGGCCTCGGACCGCCTCCGTCGGGGATTAATCGTGCGTCTTGGTGTGAAACTGAGTCGCAGGGCAGAAGCACCACTTTTGGTTCTGTTTAGAACGTGTCAAAAGAGGACCTACGGACATCGAAAGCAAAATAAAAGACGAGAGCGAGCAATGCCATGATTGCTTGGGAGCTTTCACCGTGAGCCACACCATAACAAGCCGTGCGTGTTCAGTCCCCTGTCTTTCCTTTCAGCACTGCCGAACAGGCTCCAATCGTATTTCAACTACCACTCCTATCTTTCAACCGCTGCGGCGCTGCAGTCACAACACGTCATGATCCGCCCTGCCTCCCCACCGCCCCTGTCCTCCCTTCCCGATCCCTCATTTCCCGGGCAAAGGCACGTACTTCCTGAAATTTTCCAGGAGCCTGGCCGGGTTTCCAATCACGGGGAAGAAGTGGATTTGTCCCTCTGGCTTGGTCTGCGTCTCTTTGAAATAGACCAGGACAGGCACTTGCTCGGAGGGGTAGAACTGCCGGGAAGTGACGGGGCAGAAGGCGGGGGAGAGCGGGAGACCCGAGGTGCAAATATAGTTGAAGTAGAGGTGGGGGAGAATGAAGCAAGCAGAAATTCCAATATTTAGACAAACATCCACGCGACATTTTACGCGCACGGTCGCAAAGAAAAAATGAACGATTGATTCTTACCTCCCAGTTCGTGAAACTCGCGTAAGTCCAGCGATTGCGCCCCCCCACGGCAAAATTTTCCCGCTCCATCGACAGAGACTGACCGTCAGCGCCAACAGTCATGACTTCCATTGCTTCCTCATCGAAAACAAAACGTACTTTTTGGGTGCGGCTTGCTAAGAAAGCGCCTATTAAGGCCAACGGCAAACCCGCGCCAGGATTTGACAGAGGGGGAAGCGCCAAGCCAACCCCACCGAGGAAAAATCCGGCAGCCACACGATAATCAGGCGCAATAACCTCTGGTTCTACTGCTACACGGGTAGTTTTTTGTTTTTTCCCACCCCAACTGTTGAGCGCAGTGACGGGCAGACGGGCCGGAACACCTCGGGAGCGAGTGATAATGCTGCTTATGTGGAAAAATCAAGCGATCATCATTGATCATGAGGTAATACAAGTTAGCAAATTTAAGATTATTGGGAAAATTAACAAAGTTGAGTGTTTTTATGGGTATAAGGACGAGTCCAACGCACCTGAAAGGCTTAGACAAAGAGGGCGTCGGCATGAGGAACCCGGCAGCCAGAGCGGGCAAAAGGATGAAAAATGCTGTGCGAAGAGCGAGCATGGTACCACCTGAGGATACATAGGCATCATGAGTTTTTCCTGGAAGAAGCACGGTGTGATAATTGGATGTAGGGCCTCAAGGGGCATAATAGGTAACGTGTATGAGTCCGCACTTGACCACGTCTCTGTTTAAGGCCTAGCTCGTAGAAGAAAGCAAATGAGCGGCTCGGAACGGCCTCCCTCCCCCCCCAATATAACCATGAAAGAAAAGCTTATTAAAGGCCTAAGACGCTTCAAATCAAGTAACCAATGTGCCTTTCGATGCTTTGGATGGCCTTGGCGTTTTCGGTGGTGCTACATTATCACGTTCCTGCCCCTTCTTTTGGGTGTTGCCAGCCATCCCGCTATACCCCTCTTTATTGCCTGCCTCCAGGCCCTTCTGTCCCTCGTCCCCCTCCCCCTCCACGCCCGCCTCTG